TTAGAACACCATATTCTAAAATTCCCAAATTTCAAGATCCAAAAATCCCTAGAACCCCAAATTCGAAAATTCCTAAATTTTAAGGTCCAAAAATCACTAGATCGCCGAATTCCTCAAAACCCTGGATTCCACTGTTGTCAAATTTCAAAATCGACAAATCCCTAGATTCTTGAATTCCTAGAATCCCAAATTATAAAGTTCCCAAATTTCAGGATTCACAAATTTCTAAATTCCCAAATTCCTAAACTTCCAAATTTCTAGACCCCAAAATCCCTAGATCCCCAAATTCCTAGACTCGAAAATCCCTAGAATCCCACATTCCTAGACTTTTAAATCCTTAGATCTCCAAATTCCTAAGCTGCCAAATTCCTAGATCCCCAAATTCCTAAACTTCCGAATTCCTAGACCCCAAAATCCCTAGATCCCCAAATCCTAAATTCTTCCATCTCCAAATCTTCCAAATTTGCAAATTCTCCAAAATCCCTAGAACTCCACATTCCTAGACTTTTAAATCCCTAGATCTCCAAATTCCTAAGCTGCCAAATTCCTAGATCCCCAAATTCCTAAACTTCCGAATTCCTAGACCCCAAAATCCCTAGATCCCCAATTCCTAAATTCTTCTATCTCCAAATCTTCCAAATTTGCAAATTCTCCAAAATCCCTAATAATGAATCAGTAAAACATCTATTCATCCTCGATTCTCCTCCATTTTTTCGGTCACCCATACAGAGCGATATATTTCTCCAGGTACAAAATAAACGAAACCTACAATATCGAGGAAAATAGACACGACACGAATGCAAGAAAAATACCTGCGGCAATACGGATTATTGTTAGTTGTTTTTGTTCGTTATCGATCGTGTACAGTTCACGTAACGTGTTAATTTTCTCGTGTCGGATTTAATTAACAGCCGAACTCCGGAACATCAACATCGACTACTCATTTTTCTCCGGGCTCCCGCAATTAATCTTCATGAGGTTTCTCCGGCGTGTTCCATACAACGTAAAATGACTCAACAATCCCGCGCGAGATATGAAGAAAGAAAGAGCCCGACAGAAGTAATTCTTGATGAGAAATTGTGACAAATTGCAGTAACAGCCGGCCTCCGTGGAGGAGCGTCGCTAGATTTCCTGTTCAACCGGTGATAACTCGATAGCACGGCGAACCGGTAAATTAAATTATGTCGATCGAACGGTCTTTTGGGGGATAACTTCGAAACATCGGAAGTACATTAATTTCGGCTAACTTCCGTAATAATGTGCGCGTATTATCTTACTTCTAAAATGTTCCGTGCGTTGCGAGTTTGATTTATCGCGAAAATTAAATTGGATTTCGATAAACACGATTTGCGATTAATGGGCTATTTGCGTTTTTATTATTAACGTTTGGGCTCTTTGGTTAAATCGAATTGAATTTGATTAGGATTTGGTCAAATATTTTAACTCTTTTCTTAAGAAAAATAAAATATATTGAAATTTTAATGTATCAAGGAATCTCTGAAATTTCGATCGCAAACAAAATTATTTAAAATTGAAAAACATTTTAATATTTGAAGAAACTAAAATTCAGTAAATTGAATAATGAAATTTTAATATATGAAGGAATCTGTGAAGTTTCGATCGCAAATCCGAGGGAAAATATCGGCGAAAGGAGAACCGTTGAAATGATTCAAGAAAAGGAATTGATTCCTTTCATCTAAAAAGCGGAAATCCCGGTTGAAATACGACAAGTGTCCTAAGGCTTTCGAGAGGGTAGCTCGCGTGATAAACGCGGACAGCTCCGTATTTCTCGGGGCGGAAAGCTGCTAAGAAAGAGTATTACAGAAAATTTCGCTGTAATCCAGCAACGTTTCCAAACCTTTGTCTCGGCCCAATTCGGCGGAGATTGCGATTAAGAATTCGATAGATTGGCTTGGCCGACTTCTTTGTTCGCGAACGGTGTGTAGGCGTGCCAGGCTCCGCGATAAAAGAAATTGATCCCTTTTCTCGCAGCTTTGAAATCTTATACAGAGCCTTTCTACAAAACTGGAACAAGAAACCGGAACCAATCCGACATTTCGAGACCCAATTCGACTAATTGTCGACCATATGACACTTCGATTTATCGATATTTTCTTTATTTACTTTCTTGGAGAATCTTTTCGGGGAACTCTTAATTTTGGGCTTTTTATTGGTTGCATTCATATGTTACATGTGGAGAACGTGATATGTGTCACATGTGAAGAATGTGATACGTCATGTGTGAATATTGTGATACGTCATATGTGAAGATTGTGATACGTCACATATGAAGAATGTGATATGTGACATATGTGAAGATTGTGATATGTGTCGCATGTGAAGATTGTGATACGTCACATGATAAGAATGAGGTATGTATCATATGTGAAGAATGTGATATGTGTCACATGTGAAATGATAGTATGATCATATGTAATTGTTAATTAAATGTGTATGTGAATGCATACATGTCTAAAATTATTGATACAAGTACACAGACATATGTGAAGTATATACACATATGTAAAATCACAAATAAAAGAGAATACATATGTACACACATATATATTATGTAATAAATCATAAGTGAGTTTGATAAGATATACACATGTGTGTATACATGTATACACATATGAAACAAAAGAAATAAGTGTACATACATATACAAAATCATCACTGAAGAAAATTATATACACACACATATGAAATCACACATGAAAGTATGTACATATACATATAATGAACCATAAATTAAAATATAATGCACAAGTATAATATTATAACATATGAACACATACAAAATTAAAAATGAAAAAAGTATATGAAACACACATACATTATGTACATATGCACATGTGCATATGTGTATAAAATGTTATGCATATATGAAAAAGAAGATACATACAGGAAATAATAAATGTTATACATATATGAAAAAGAAGATACATAATATAATAAATGATAAGCATATTGTAAAATGAAAAATGATATTGAAAGAAAAAATGAGATGTCAATTATGGTTGTTCGATGCAATTTTGCAAGAATGTTCAGCAAGTGTTCGGAAGATAAACGAGCGCGGGGATTGAAAAATTAGGCGGAAAATAGAGAAGGCAGATTCGTGTATTGTTGGTGGGAATGCGCGAAATAACAAATTGCGAAGAACAGCTCGCAAAGTTCCTTGAGTCGAGGCACCGGTAAATTGGGGCGAGAAACGCCTCTTTCAACTCGAAGATTTGCATTGGCCAATTTCACTTGCAAATTGATCGTCGGTGTTTCGCGAACACGCGCCAAAGCGTCTGTTAAACAAAAAACGGAGAAACCCTGTCAAATTGTTTCGGAATCAGAGTTTCTTTTGGTACAGGGATATCTTCAACAGATTACTCTTCTTTTTATTTTGTGAGAGCAAAATATTCAGTTATATGTTCATGTATATTCATATAATATAATTATATAAACGTACAGTATAATTATTATAATTATACGTTCATGTAATACATTTGATATTAAGCTACGTTAAATAATTAAATAATATAATTGATATTAAGCTACGTTATAAAATTAAATAATATAACTGATATTAAGCTACGTTATAAAATTAAATAATAAATTTGATATTAAGCTACATTTTAAAATTAAATAATATAATTGATATTAAGCTAAATTTTAAAATTAAATAACATAATTGAAATCAAGCATAATAACATGAATAGTCATTATTTTAAATTTCTTATATTAAACAAACACAATGAAACATTTTTCATATCAACAAAATTGTAAAAATAAAAAAAAATGTATACTTATATTAAATGAAAATATATATTAATAAAAATAAATAATTATATCAAGTATTTTACGTATTTCAAGTTAAAAGAAGAATCTATTCTACCATCAATAAATTACATCAAATAATTAGAATGAATAATTAAAATATGGAATTATTAATCGTATACCAGCATCAATCCACAAATCTCTTATTCGCGTAATTAATAACGAACGCGCAAACAATTTAATTTAATAATCGGTGCAGTTAACGATCCATTGCATATGTCAAGTAAAATACATAATGAATATTCGATAATACTGGTGGTCGAGATGAAAGTGGGAAACGTGTTTCGTTTTGATGTATAGATGTCGATAAGGGTTTTGACAAGACATTGGAATTACGATTTATAAATTTCTGAATATCCTGAGTTTTTACATTTCTAGACAGATTTCTAAATTTCAAAATTCTTACATTTCTAAATTTCTGACTTTCATCAACTTCTCAACTTCTGACTTTCTGACTTGTTACATTTATAGATTTATATATTTCCAAATTTCTATTTACCCAAACTTCAAAGTTTGCAAATAAATTTTCAAGTTTCCAAAATCACAAGTTTCTGAATTTCCAAATTCCTATATAATTAAATTTGTAAGTATCTAAATCCCAGAAGTGTCAAATCCCTATATCTCCAGTAGAACTCCAAAATCTCTAACTTCCCAAATTCCTAAGTTTCCAAGTTCATCTTCAACTCGCAAAACTCACAATTCGCCACCTCCTCAAGTCACCAGACTCCCAAATCCCTAACTTCACAAGCTGCTTCATCTTCCACTTCCTAAACACCTAATTCCTCACACCCCTAAACTCTAAAACTCTCAAGTTCCTAAATTTTCAGTTCCCTATATAATCAATTCTATCAATTCTCAATTCCATACACCCCAAATTCCAAAACACCCAACTATCCACATCACCACATCCCCAAATCTCTAAACACCCAACGATCCACATCCCAATCTTCCCAAATCTCCAATCACCCAACTATCCACATCCCCAAATCCCTAAACATCCAACGGTGCACATCCCTAACTTTCCAAATCCCTCCCTAATCACCCAACTATCCACATCCCCAACTTCCCAAATCCCTAATCACGCAATCCTAATCCCCCAATCCCTAATCCACATCTCCACCTTCCCAACTACCCAAATCACTCTATCATACATAAACTCCCTCTAACCACCCAAAAATTATCCAAATTACACAAAATCACCCCAACGGGTGTACCTGTCCCCAGGTTTAGACAGACGAGGCACATGGAAGCGGTTTCTACTCAGCAAAAGTTCAGCCGGCAGCGGTGGCACTCCTCAGCACACCTCGGGCACATCGACGGACACCGAGCTGACCACCCTAGACACCCACGAACTTTGGCTACCGGAAAGCGAGCCACCTCCTTCAGCCATGTCCGCCCTCCACGCTTTCGGCGCCGAAATGCTGAAGTTGTCCAGAGGGCTGGAGGGCATCGCCAGCCCGGGCAGCCCTACACCGACCGGTACGCCCCGATCCACGCCCCAGCACTCGGGCCAGCATCATCATCATCATCATCAGCATCAGTTGCATCGATGCAGTTTGCGACACGGGTAAGGGTTCTGATTGCGTGGTAATTGGACGCTTTTGAGGTGGCAGTTCCGACTAACGAGCTAAACCCACCACTCGAATGACCGTTTCGAGACGGGCTGGCTTTTCAAACTGATACGGGATGCTCAGGTGTTGATCGTTGCGGTTTTACGGGTCGATGTATCGATCATTTTGTGGACGCTTTGTGACGCTTTTTGCTCTTGTTTGGGATAATTAAGGTGATCGAGTGGACTGTTTTTGGGGAGATGTGATCCGAGCTTTAGCTTTTGTTTGGGGTGGTAATTTTGATACGAGGGAATTTATTATTTGTGGTATGGGGGTGTGTATGAGGGTATGCAATCTTGAAATTGTTAAATATTTCTTCAATTATTTTTTGTTACAACCAAAACAAAAAAATAATTCACATTCAGATGAAGTCCAGATGAAGTCTACATTTGTCTAAATGAATTTACAGTAATAAACAGTTATGAATTCTACTTAATGGATTCAATTCACACCCTTTAAGATAATCAACAAAAAAATGTATTCAAAAAATAATTATTTTCTCAATATTTTCAAAAGAATTTTACAAACACCAAATATTCTCCCATCACAAAAAATAGTACAAAATAAAAAATGATTAAAAGAATTAAAAAAATCTATTCTTTCTAAAATAAATTGTGAGAAGAAACTGAATAGGAAGAACCTGATTTCGACAATCAGCTTGAATAAAAATGATAGAAAAATCAAGGAAACGTAATCCCACCGGGTCTCACGTTTTATGAAACCGGAAGATTTTCGATATCCGGACTATCCGAAACGATTCGCAAAAATAAGGACACCTTTCATTCGCCGATCGGCCATTGAAATGGAACACGTATTCCACGGTATTTCGCCGTGAAACATCTCGAGGGACAACGTCGTTCCAATTTCAAGCGGAACGCGCGTAACCGACTCGAGTCGGAGGTAAAACACCGAACGAAACTTGTCTCGGTGGAAACTAAACCGAGATCGAAAATCGCGTGTCGATTTCCGTGCGAGAAATGTCAGTCGTTGCACAGACTCTAACCGTACGGAACATGATATCTGTCACGGAATCGGCAAATATTTTCTCCTTATTTTGAGTTACTTCGCGTTCGACGGTGCGATACATGGTCGAGGGTATGTGGATCTTTGGTGATCAATTTTTGTTGATGGACAGTTTGCATTGTAATTTTAGAGTCTCTGGTTTAGGAGAAAGGGGGTGATTTTTAATTTGAGGGATTTTGTAGTTTGGGGGTTGTGGGAAGTTGGAAAATTGGGAGTGGTGCAATTTTTGAGTATTTGAAATGGCAAGTTTATTAGTTTCTAAACTTTTTAACTTTCAATTTCTTAATTTTTCAGTTTTCCAGTTTTTCAATTTTTCAATTTTTCAAATTTTCAGTTTTTCAATTGTTCAATTTTTCAATTTCTTAATTTTTCAAATTTTCAGCTTTTCAATGTTTAAATTTTTCAGTTTCTCAATTCTTCGATTTTTCAATTTTTCAACTTCTTAATTTTTCAATTCTTCAACTTTTCCATTTTTCCATTTTTCCATTTTTCAATTTTTCAATTTTTTAATTTTCAATTCTTCAATTTTTCAATTTTCAATTCTTCAATTTTTCAAATTTACAATATTTCAATTTTTCAATTTTTCAAATTCCAAATTCCAAATTTATGAATCTTAAAATTCCCAATTCTTCAACCACAGAATCTCCAATCTTCTAACCACAAAATTTTCCAACTTTCCACACAAAAATCCAAAACAGCACCTCTACATAAAAATTCCCCTACCAATCGAATAAGCAACGATAGAAATAATAAAAAAATAATAAAACAAAAAAAATTTAATAATAGAAAAAGCATGAAAGCACAGTGAACACAGAAATACTAAATTTTCCAGCAGCACTGCGCCACGCTAATTAAATTAGACTTGAAATCTTAATAGTTTCAGCGTCGGGAGGTTACGGTCTTCCGCCATATTTTCCCCCATAACCCAGAGAAGGCATCTATGCACGTGACTGCACGAGTCCCTTTGGAGAATTCTCGAAACGCGATAGATTTACGACCGGTAGACGAATATTTTCCGCTCTGCCTCGTGTTTCTTCGTCCGTGTCGTTCTTCAAACATCCTGACAGAAATTGATCCATAATCCAAATCGACTTTTGTTACATATACAATGGGATACATTTATTCATACGTGGGATAATCCGCTATTTCTTGGAATCAAATGTCAGATGGATTTTTTGATGCATTGCAGAAATCGAAGTTTTTAATAACATAACATGAAATTTTTAGTAATAAATTTTGTAACATGATTTCTTTCTTTTAAAGAAATTAAACATTTTGTTTGAACAAATTTCTTTTGTATGAAATATATTGAAGTAGAAGTGAAACCTTTATTAGAAGACTACTTCATGAAATTTTATACTAAATGATGATAGAATGGAAGTTAAATTGAAACAGATAGTTAAATGCAAATGGAAGAATCGTTAAAAATAAATCATTTTATAAGACAAATATTTCTTGTTATTTGTATAAAATTCGAGGAGGAAGAAAAACATTTTCATTGAAAATCTGTTGGGTTATACTTGGAAATACTCTTCTCTACAAGTGTACTTCTCTTGGATCAAATCACAATAGCACAGAAATGTGGATTCACAAATCATAAATTTTTATAAAACTCATACATACAATATTTATTTATAAGATTCTAAAGTCCTATAGTTTGATGACCACTTAAATGACAAGTCTACTATGAGTTCAGGATACTAAATGGTACTATAAGTTCAGACTAAAGAAAGATTCACAGAAAATTCAACATGGACGACACTGTACTTTTCATTCAAACTTTACTTGTCTAAACCTCTAATAATTTGAGAGAAATAAAAAGAGAAAATTGACACCCATTGGTGGAAATCAGAGGACACAATCAGATTTTTAAAGAAAATTAAAAGAAATATCTAAAATATATATTCAGAGAAAAATAGTGCTCTGAGTAGCTTCTCAAACGTGTAACTTCTCAAAGTGTAAAGTTTCGTAAGAAAAATCAGTGCAGTCTCTTGTTAGACAGATTTCTGTTCCACCAAAGCTTCGTAACTCGGGAATTGCTACGAAATTGCTGCTTCGAATTACCGGATCGAATTGACGGTAATACGAAGACCAAGAACAACGCACACCCAGAGACGCGAGAACGTTTTGTACTCGCAACTATGAACTTGTCTAAAATGTCATGTCGAGTTTACGCGATGCATTCGGTTATGGCATTTAGGGCCACGTTCCTCTACCAAATTACACCGCCAGATTATCGATTTCTCAACTTGACGAACGTGTTCAAGACAACGGATTATCTTCGATGTTTCACCTGTTTCGGGTACTATGTACATGTATAGGCACTTCAAACATCCTGGCACGTATGTTTCAGTTCTATACATTTACTTAATGGTTCTTGGATTGCTTTTGGGTGTTTGGATGACTTTTTATATGCATTAATTTTTCGATTTTTATGTTCAAGCTTTTGGTCAATTTTTATATTCAAGGTTTTGGTCAAAGTTTATAGTCCAATTTTGTAATACACGCGTTCAAATAGTAACTCAATTTTTAAATTTTGTAATTCTCAAGTTTTTCAAGTTTTCGAGAAATTTTGTATCTCACAATTTCTAGTTCTATAGATTCTTGGAAACCAAAATAGCTATGTTTGCAAATTGGTGGATTTCCAAATCCCCAGATTTGAAAATTCCTACATTTTCAATTCCTTATATTCTCAAATTTACTATAGATCTAATACCTTGCAATCCCAAATTCTTACGACCCCAATTCCTTACATTTTTAAATTTCTATATTCCCAAAATTACTACATCCCCAATTCCATATATTCCAACTTCTTAGACCTCCAGTTACCTACATTCCCAAATTCCTATATCCCCAAATTCCTACACCCCCAATACCTCACATTCCCAAATTCCTATACCCCCAATTCCTTACATTTTCAAATTTCTATATCCCCGAATTTACTACACCCCCAATTCCAATATCCACAATTTACTACACCCCCAATTCCATATATTCCCAAATTTTCTACGCCCCCAATAGCTTATCTCCTCAAATTCCTATCTCGCCAAATCTCCAAGTCCCTAAATTCCAACGGTGTCCAAATCTCAAAATCCCAGTATTCCCAAATCCCTATATCTAGAAATAGCTATATCCCTAAATCCCCTTATCCCCATATCTACATACCATAATTCCCATATTCCCAAATCTCAAAATCCCAAAATTCCACCAACTCCCAATCCTCAACCCACCCCAAATTCCCCAATCCCAAAAATCCCTAAAATCCCTCAAAAACAACAAAAACTCTCTTCACTCCATTTACTAATCACATTTCCCTAAAACCAAAATTTACTTCTGAACGTCCACTTACATACGTACACATGTATGTGTCACACATGTCACATATATCTAAAAGAATATTACGAGCAAAAAATTTAAATGTAACATCTGCAAAGAATGAACTTTACATCCCCACACGTTGCATCGCATAAATATTCAAAACGTGCAGTAAATCCCACTTAAAATTACAAACCGTACCTCAGATGTCTTTTCAAATAGCTAGTTTTTCAAAAAGAAATTACGTGACTGAATCTAAAAGAATCGCAGAAGAAATAATAATGAGTACATCAACGATTCGAGGTTGTCCAGATCGAAACCATTTCGCAGGGCTACTTTTATTCAATATCTCGGCGATCGTGTCATCTCCTGATTTACACGAGAAGAACTCGTGGTGCAGATAGGACGTTATTCTCGCCACGGAGATTGGCTATTCGTTACCGTTCGTCGCGACCGCACGTGGATCTGACAACGAACTCAGTCGCCACTTTCCGGCTCGAAAAATGAATTCTCGTGTCTGAGAAAATAACGTAGCTGATACGCAAGGTTTTCGATAAGAGAAAATGAAGTAACGATGCTAGTTCGATGGCAGCCTCTGGAAACTATCGATTAGGGGTGG